GAGCCGGTGACGATCTGTGCTGGCTGCGAGATCTATTAAAATGACATAGGGCTCGTGTCTCGCCTTCGTCCGGCGCCGATGCAATAAAAATAATGAACAGGAAGGAGAAAGAGCGAAGAGAATGAGGGGAGGAGCGAGAGAGAAAGAGAGATCTGAAAATTGAAGGAAATCGATACCGCAAAGACGCTCCATTGGCATTAGCTTTTCTATCCGTAATAGATTTGTCATTGGGAAAAGACAGCAAGCGGAGCCGTGCTTAATGTTACTAAGCTCGCACTGAAAAAACATTCTCGGCGCCTTTACCAAGGTCCGTTGGTACCTTTACCATCTCACTTTTTTACCACTTATTGGTAATTTTACCAAGACAGACTGGTAAGCTCACCGAAAAACCGGTATTTTTACTGTTTTTCTTTAGGTAAGAATACCACTTTCATGGGTAATCAATCCCTGGTAACTTTGCCATTTTATCTCGGTAATTCTACCACAGTCGATAAGAAATATTGGTGTTTTTACCAAGGTCCAGTAAAATTACCAAGAAAATTCAATAATTTTACCGAGATTTCTCGGTAAAACTACCAATTCCATAAATGGTAATTTTACCAAGAAAAAACTGGGAGCAAATAGAACCTTGAATTCTTGGTAATTTTACCCTTTTCTTAGTAAATACACCGAGATTTTTTTTTCAGCGCGCACTTGGTCATATTATTCTTTTTTTTCCCCCAGGCCCCCACACCGTATTAGGAGCGTTCGGAACACGACTCCTTCTATATTTTATTAAATATTAATAATTAACATGAGTGCCGCCTGAAGAAAACTCACGGGCCGTTTAGATCATAGTTTAGATGTTATGAACACAAGATATTAAGTCATAATAACTCAGCTGTGACGACTGTTGCGAGTCGCAGTCTCTTTCGGAATGAAGAAAATATCAAGATAAGTAACCAGAATGAAAACGCCACCGATTTCGCCTCGTCTGAAATGTTTCCCTCTCCCCGAAGACTGCCTAGTCTGAATCGGAAAAGAGACTCCACCGCACAGAACCGAATTCCTCACATTCCGCTGCCATAAGTCATAAATATCAACAAAGGCCGATGCCCATTAATAATTATCACTGCGGCCATTATTTGTCTAATTATGAGAATAGATGAACATGTTTGGTGCAAGCTTTGTCTCTCCTTGCCCGTCTCTCGGTTGAGTTTGATGGTCTCTTCGATTTGATGGATGCGGCTGTTGAACTAAGTGGTCAAAATTTTCCGAATTTTCGACGACTTAATTTTAGTAGGATCCCGGCGGACACCTGAGAGCGGTGTGGTTAAAAGAAAACGGAAAGGATTCTGACGCATTGAAATAAACGTATTCAAAAGGAAGAATCCACGTCCTTCTAGAACGCGAAAGTGCTTATGAGCTACGGTCACTAATTTGCCTTCTGATCGAGTTATTGCATTAGACCGGCGCGATGGGAGGGTGAGGCTGCAAGGTCATTGACCGACCGAAACATGTATGAATTTCACGCGCCCAGCCAAATCAAATACATTCCTTCCTACTTGAATCCATGAACCAATGTACGATTCTGCACGTAGCACATTGCAGCGAAGAGAGAGGGAGAGAGGAAGGCGGAAAGAGGGAGAGAGATAGGGAGGAGCAGGGGGAGGCGGAAAGAGGCCCATGTTACTTATATTCGGGGTGTCCCTGGATTAAATGATTAGACTGCGGGAAAATATTCAATGGGTAAAAATAAAACCCCCTCCTCCCATCAATGTTTTTTCAATAAAAACCGCCAGTCGGCGCTGCCCCCTCCCCCCAAAAAAAAATTACTGGAAAAATAGTAGTTTTTAAATTTTGGCAGTGGTAATGGATCGAATTCAATCATGAGAAATCTCCAGCATTTTTGGCGCTTATAAATCCATTAATGACCTGAAGAATATTAAAGTCTCGAAGTTGAGCGGGGTTTTCAGGGGGCCCTGGATCCTCTACGGTAAAAAAACTTCATCATTGATGAGCTTAGCCCAAAAATTATGAGTAAATATTAAAAGTTTTGGTTCATAACCGTTGCTAAATTCAGAAAAAATTATGCATTTCCCCAAAAAATTGGGAGACAGTACCTACGACTGAAGGTAATTCCTAGAGCAAACATTAAAGAAGAAATAAGTCTTCTCTTGACCCATACAACACGCTCGTACAGTCCGATCCTTTAACCCTTAGACACTCTGTTTACACGGACAACAGTAAAATTCATCAAGGTAACATCAAACACTCTCATTATGTAATGATGTGTGGGTATGATGATAGCAATATTGCGTCAATTTTATTTCGGGAACAGTTTTAAGGATTATCAAATGAAAATTTTAACAATATTCTAGTTGACGGTCTCCGTTCAAGTTATCCCTATATTCTCGGGTACACATTCAAATTCACACTCACACACTCTAAAACAATAACTCTTCAAAATCAATTCGAAACGGAGCGCGAAACCTTTCCATCGCTCATAGCATGCTTCAAAGAATATGAGCCATTTATGAGAGCTCAAGAATAGCATTAATGCCTTCATTGAGAGCAACGGCGAGGCGTGAATGATCGATTATGGATTTCCCCATTTGAAGCTATGGTGAAGAATCGATTATTAAGGTGTTCGTTGCGAACGACCTGTTTATCGATCCTTTCCCATGGGTTTAAATGACAGAGCAATCGATACATCGCAAAGTACGCCGCGGATTGAGAGCGGTAAGTTCATGGATGTAAGGACTAAATAAATAATTTTACGACGCTCTACATGAAAGGGGAACAGATCCACCCTCTAGAAGACGCGCTTTGTGACATTACAAGAGTCGGTAACATTCCGGGTTTACGACTTTTTAATTGGCTGATCTACATTTGCTGCAGGAAATATCGTCAGGAGAGTGTTTTTCGAAAATTAACGGGGAGACTTGGAGCTTGAACAAAAATACTCTGTCTTCAGCACATAAATTAGAGGGGGTAGGTATACGCGGTTGGCAAAATCAGGTGGACCGACCCTTGGAACTACCTCATTAAATGCTCGACTCGAGGTTAGAGTTTTTGATGGTTTCACTATGGAACAATCGTTAAGAGGATTAAAAGTAAAATTTGAATCGTGCAACGGCGAAGTCGTTAATTGTTTTGATTCGTTGGATTTCCGGTTTCCCTCTCATGACCAATAAAACCAGTCCACCCCCTTTGAAATATATTTCGTGGGGATCTCTAGCCTCCCTTATATCCTTGCTTATTTTTAACAACCAGAGTCATATTGTATGAGGAAACTCTGAGCCTTTCCTATAGGTAGAAAGTGGGATTTTATACATGCACTTTGCAAAATTTCAGGAAGAACACCGCAGCGCTGAGGGAAAAGCTCTGTATGAATCTTTGAACTTGCCAAATTTCCCTTAATAAAATGTGGATTTTCAGGGAATCTTACAAATATTTGGACATATTTCTGCCAAACGGAACTATGTGCATTAAGACATGAGCCCTGAGACACATGAGAATATATGCATAACAGGGCTCACGTCATAATGCACATAGTTTCGTTTGCCAGAAATACGTCCATTTTTCCCTCCAATTTTTCAGAGAATTTCAGACACAATTTCGCCTGAAATATCTGAAAGTTTTGAAGAATAAACATTACTTTTTTCGCGGTGAAATGGAAATGAAATGAAACGTTCTTCCTTAGCGCGGGATTCCTCCCGGGAGTTGGTAGGAGGCTTTCGAAGGGTGGATTTAAGTGGTAAATATAATGATCTCAAATGAACCATGATTCCTTGACGAGGGTCAATTTTTTGTTGTTCTAGCCGATAACGAGGGAAAATAAATTCAGGCAAATTACGCCAGCTGAATAGCCTGTAAATTAGACTTTTCGGGTATTTTAGTGGATAACAGTCAAACTTTATCCGGAATAAATCTTATTACTTACTTCTAATAATTCTACGTATATAAACCGACGACACTTAAACGGATGACTGTTGGGCCGCGGAGCCTAGTAAAGAAATTGCTCGATTTTCTTTTTCATGGTTTTTCACATCAGGTATGCCCTCCCCACTTTATGACGACGTCGAATTTCATTTGTGGACCACGATCTACGCTGGCAAGGTGGCCCGTGGCCAAAAAAGGTTGGAACTCCATGCTGTGTACTTTAGCGGAAGGCTTATAACCATATGAAATTTTTCAGAAAATTCTTGACACCATGATCGTTTCATCTACATCCGGTGATATGCAAATTTTGACCGTGGATCAATTAGAAATAATGCTGAATTGAAATGGCAAATCGCAAAGCAAAATGGACCTCCAACCAATTAAAAAAAAAATAGAGAGAGAGAAAGAAAAAAAGCGGAATTTTCCCCGACGAGGTAATTCATCCTCAACCCCTGACTGAAAAATTATAAGAATTTAATCGGATTAAGCGAGATCAAAAAAGAAAACAAAAATTATCTTGACACGAAATTTAGCCTGGAAGTGTAGCTTCACGCATCCACAGCCATTGGTCATAGGTGGAACTGGGGAGAGGGGCTCTCTCTTCCCCAAAATTTGCTTGGCCTCCTCCGGAAAATAAAGGAAATCTCCTGTTGCAATGTATAAAGTGAAATTGTATTTCAGACAATTTTTCGGGGAATAGATACTTACCGCGCAAAATTGCGCCCGAGACTGATATTTCAAAATTGTCCCAGCGAGACACAATAAAGCTGGAAAGGTTCCCTCGGCTCCCTTTTGAAGTTAGAGGAGTTCCCCCCATTTCCCTGTGGCAGAGTGTCTTTCTGCACTATTCAGATCGTTCCTGGTGAGGTGCCGCTACTACCTCCCGACCTCCAACCTCCAACCCCCAACCCCC